GTGGGCGCCTGTGGTCCCAGCTACTTGGGAGGCTGAGGCAGGAGACTTGCTTGAGCCCAGGAGTTGGAGGTTGCTGTGAGCTATGATGCCATAGCTCTCTACCCAGGGAATAGCTTGAGGCTCTGTCTCAAAAAAAATTGTAAAACATTTGGCTACTAATATCTGTATTTTACATTCATTGAAAGATAGATGTTGTTTTAATTCCAAGTATTAATATTATTTAATAGTAATTTAGGAGAAGAAATTAGAAGAATTGTTTTCCTCCTTAGAGGGAAATTACATGTACAGATCAAGTGCCATCGCAGCCTTGTATAATGAAAATGTATGTCTCCGAACTTACTTTGTATGTTTACTTTCTAGGCTCTCAGCTGGTGGCCTGTCTTTTACCCATCCTCATTTCCTTCCTTTTGGATCAGAATGCTCTGGGATCTGCAACTTCCACAATGAGAAATTTACATGACTTTGCTTTGCAAAATCTCATGCAGATTGGGCCTCAGTATTCATCAGTTTTTAAAAGTTTAATGGCTTCTTCTCCTGCCCTGAAAGCTCGCCTTGAGTCTGCTGTAAAGGGCAATCAGGAAAGTATCAAAGTCAAGATACCAACATCTAAGAACCCTGGAAAGAATTCAAGCATCCAATTAAAGACCAATTTCCTCTGATATTATATTTTTTGGAATAGTAAGCACTTTTTATATAAATAATACTTGATCATTTCCTTCTCTTTGGGGACAAAAGTGACATTTTAGACCCAAGTGCACTTGGAGATCTAGTTGATTGTTTTACCTTAAATAGCTGTGACTTTTCCAAGTAACAGCATACTTAACATTTTTTGTGAGTTTTTTTCCATTTGATAAGACAACAGAGCTATCAGAATTCTTGCCCGGATTTTAAGAAAGTGCTAAACAACTAAACTTACTAAATCCACAGCTTTAAAGATTAAATGGATTTCTTCTAACAGCCTGTACACACAATATACTTAATACTGTGACAGATATTGATTGGACTCTAGTAAAAATTAGCTGCACTTACATTGTATCCCAGTTGCTACTTTAAAATTCTGCCTTATTCAGTAATTGTGTTAAACTTTCTTGGATTTCTCAAACAAGATAAATGATTGGAAAACTACTTAGGAAACTTGGTCTAGAATCTCCCAATGTGCAAATTAATTACAGCCTTACAGTGTGACTTAAGATTTGGTATCTATGAATACTATGACTTTTCACCATCTCTTGGTTAGTATTAGGTTCAGAAAATGGAAAAGTTTATTTATTTTAAATAGAATAGGCCATCTCTACTTCACTGCTTTTCAGAGAGATTTTCTGTTACCTTTATTCCTAACAGTTTTGTTTATTTCGTTTGTTGAAAATTTATCAATACGTTTAATATAGATTCATATCTATATTGTTTTTACATCGATTATAAGTTTATATAAATGCCAAATTTAGTACAACCAATTTAGATCATAAGTGAACAAAAGTATTTTTTTAACTGAAGCATATTTTAATATAGAAAAGAACTAATAATAAAGTCATAATTGGTTGAAAAAGATTTTTAACTCTGTTCATGATCAGTGTTACATTGTGTGAATCACTATGTCAAGACAAAGCACCTCCCTGTTAAAAATTACAAACCGAAGTAATGAGGCATGTTCAGAATGGAGAAAACACTTCAACTCAAGGAAAAGCAACGTGATGTGCTCTATTTTATTATGTTGTATATAAATACTCCTATACATTGTTCAGAATGAAAACATTTGAGAAATTCTAACACTACAATCAGCTTTTCTAAATTAAATAAAGCTAATTTTCTTTATCATTCTTGTATGTTTAATTATTTTACCCACAGAAGATGGTTTGGCTGTTTAGTCTCACACAGAAAATCTGTTCAATGGAATAAGTAAGAACCTTTTGTAACATGTCCATTTTTCTGTAGGGCCCGTTCATTGGAGCAGTTTTTGCAATGATTTAGATTCTGTATCTTCCTCAGTGTGTTTAGAAATTGAGAGCATATTTCTTACTGTTGCCTTCACCTGAAATGTCCTTTGTTTTACCTTGTTCTGTCTGGCAGACTCCCACACATTTTAGGCCTGGTTTAAATATTATCTCCCCTTGGTAACTCTCCTTAACACATCTTCCCGTCCTCTTACACCAAACAAATTTAACTACTTCCTCATCTGTGTTTCCACAGAGCTTAATACATTCATTTATGGAGAAAAAAATCACATTGCAGGCTCAATGCCTGTGGCCCAATGGCTAAGGTGCCAGCCAAATATACCTGAGGTGGCGGGTTCAAATCCAGCCTGGGCCCGCCAAACAAAAATGACGGCTGCTACCAACAAATAGCCAGGCATTGTGGTGGGCACCTGTAATTCCAGCTATTTGGGAGGCTGAGGCAAGAGATTTGCTTGAGCCCAGAAGTTAGAGGTTGCTGTGAGCTATGACACTACAGCACTCTACCCAGGGTGACAGCTTAAGGCTCTGTCTCCAAAAAAAATCACATTGCATTTGAGCATCATGTAACCTCCCTCTTAGATTGTGCTTCCTTGAAGGGAGAAATTTTGTCTTCCAAAACTTTCCATCTTACAACCATCATCTAAGTGCTTAATTGCTCTGGCATTGTACTGACTGGTATGAGGGTATGAGATGAGTTTAGACTCAGAAATTGACTCCTTTCCCAAGGCAAATGCTAGACTGGGTTGTTCAACTTTTGGATTTTTTTTGTTGTTGTTGACAGAGCCTCAAGCTGTCGCCCTGGGTAGAGTGCTATGGCATCACAGCTCACAACCACCTCCAACTCCTGGGATCAAGCGAGTCTCCTACCTCTGCCTCCCAAGTAGCTGAGACTGCAGGCGCCCGCCACAATGCCTGGCTATTTGTTGGTTGCAGCTGTCGTTGTTTGGTGGGCCCGGGCTGGATTGGAACCCACCAGCTCAGGTGTATGTGGCTGGCACCTTAGCCGCTTGAGCCACAGGCGCCAAGCCAACTTTTGGATATTTAAAATTGTTTCATCTGTTGCAATTTAGTTTGCTCTTATTTTTTTTTTATTTATTTTTTTTGAGATAAAGTCTCACTATGTCATGCTCAGTAGAGTGCTGTGGCATCACAGATCACAGCAACCTCAAACTTTTGGTTTTAAGTGATTCTCTTGCCTCAGCCTCCTGAGCAGCTAAAACTACAGGTACGCACTACAACACCCAGCTATTTTCTTGTTGTTGTTGGCAGGCCTGAGCTGATTTCAAACCCACCAGCCCCAGTGTTTGTGGCTGGCTCCCTAGCCACTGAACTTTAAAAATAAGGCTCTGCACCTGTAGCTTTTTGAGGCAGAGTCTCACTTGATCACTCTTGGTGGAGTACCGTGGCATCTTAGCTCAGAGCAACCTCAAACTCTCAGGTTCAAGTGATTCTCTTGCCTCAGCTTCCCAAGTAGCTGGGACTAAAAGTGCCCACCACAACGCCTGGCTATTTTTTAGAGATAGGGTCTTGCTCTTGCTCAGGCTGGTCTCGAACTTGTGAACTCAGGCAATTCCACCTGCCTCAGCCTCCCAAGTGTTGGGATTACAGGCATGGACCATTTTGCCCTGCCTAGTTTGCTCTTAAATATTAAAACTTAACCAGAGCTCAGTGTCCATCGTTCAGTGGTTAGAGCGCCAGCCACATGCACCAGGGCTAGTGGGTTCAGACCCAGCCTGGGCCTGATAAACAACAATGACAACAACAACAAAAATAGCTGGGCATTGTGGCAGGCACCTGTAGTCCCAGCTACTTGGGAGGCTGAGGCAAGAGGATTGGTTGAGCCCAAGAGTTTGAGGTTGCTGTGAGCTATGATGATGCCATGACACTCTAGCCTAGGCAACAGTGAGACTCAGTCAAAAAAAAAAAAAATGAAATTTTTGCTTAATTGGATCAAGAAACAAAATTTTTTATTTTTTTTATTTTTTTGAGACAAGTCTTACTATGTCACCCTCGGTAGAGTGCCATGGCGTCACAGCTCACAGCAACCACAAACTCTTGAGCTTAACTCTTGCCTCAGCCTCCCAAGTAGCTGGGACTACAGGCACCCACCACAGTGCCCAGCTATTTTGTTGTTGTAGTTGTCATTGTTGTTTGGCAGGCCCAGGCTGCGCTTGAACCTGCCAGCTCCAGTGTATGTGGCTGGCACCCTAGCAACTGAGATACAGGCGCTGAGCTGGATCAAAGATTTTTTTCAGGAATAATATCTACAGGCAATCTTTATTTCTTTCTTTCTTTCTTTTTTTTTTTTTTT